CAGGGGGTGCTTTGGACAGCGAGGCTTGGGAGGGATGCTCGAGTGGTGCTTCTCAGCCGGTGTGGCTGCTGAGCTTGGACAGGTCAGGAACAGCCTTGGAATGCTTTGCTGGGAATGGCGAATCTCGCTGTGTCACACCCCTCTAACGAGCAATCTTTAATATAAACAGAACTGATCCAGAGCTCTGTGCCCATGGACACCCAGCAAACACAAAAAATAGATGGGAGCCTCTTGTTTCCCATCTCTGCATGGATGAAAGTGCTCACCCCACCTGGAAAGATGCTGCAGCCCCAGATTTGGGGCTCCCCTGCTGTCCCCAGGTTGTGGGGTCACCTGAGAGCCTCGGGCAGTGGCTGTGGGGCTTGGAGTTGTACTTGTGGCAATAACCTCTGTATTAAACCCATCACACCCTGAATTCAATTCCTGAATATCATGGAATGAAGTGACTGATGGGAAGCACAAGGGATCTTTCAGAGCAGCAAAGCTGGGGCTCAGCACGAATTTCTCATGAACTCCTCAGACAGAGCATTTTCTGCAGCCCCTCCACAGAAAGCTGAGTATTTGCTGCTGTCTCCAAGTGAGCTCCTGCAGTGCAATATTTTTCCATGTTCATTGTCCAAACCTCTCATAGAGCTCATGAACATATTCCAGCTTTCTCATCCACGTTTTTGTTGGATTTTCCTTCCTTAAACCTTCCTACTGCTCTCTCAGTTCTACAACTTATCCCCTTTTCCTCCACTGGGAAACTGAAACAGTTCTCAATTCTTTTGCATTCCTGTTTCCTCTTGTGAAATCCCTCATTTTTACCACCTTTCTTGCCTTCTCCACCTTTTCCAAGTATCCTTGTCCTCACTGTGGGCTTTGTCAGGAGATTGCCAATGTGTTGTGAAAACATTCAGCCCTGTGTTGATAACTAGAGTGAGTGGGTGTAAATAAGATTTTGCTAGCCTGTGTCTGATATTACATGTGACAGGGGATATTCCATCCACATGGGATCTGTCAGCAGTGCCTCTGTGGATTTAACAAACTTCCCAGGGATTAGCTGGCCTGGAGTGCTCTGCTCAGCTCCTGCCCCAGTGTGTGTCTAGGAAATTATGAATTCACTCTTTATTTTTAGCTCAAACAGGCAATAATTATATTTTCTCTATCATAATCAATGTAGGATGTAGATTAATATTTTTATAATGAGAGTGGAAGTAAACCAAAATACAAGCAGAATTCCTCAACTTAAAAATGAACATTGAAGAAATAGGATTTCTTAAGGAAGCTTGGAGCTGGAGAGTTGAACTTTTTTTGAGGGGAAAACAGTAAAACAGCAATGCAAAATATACTTTCTAATGCAAACTGAAGTGCATTCTCATTACTGTCCTCTCCATTTGTTCTGGTTTGGAAACAGAACAAATCCATCATTTCATCCATCCAAATTTCCCACCATTGTGTGATTTATTTGAACCAGAAAGATTGACTTCAAAATCCTCATCCCACAGTTAATACTGGGGAAGTTCTGAAGGAAAAGTCTCCCACTTATTTTCCTTTCTGGCACAGGGGATGGCAAATCATTCCCAATATTTTCCCTTTTTGAGGTGAAAAGAAGTACTGGAGAGTAAATTGCCAATTCTGCAGCACAGAGAAATTTAATTAAACATATTTGAATGTTCTCAAAGATCTGAACTTTATTTTTATTTCTGTAATCAGTCTTTCTTTAGTATTTTTTGCTGGAAGAGTGCAATGCTGAGGGAGTGCAGCTCCAAAGGAGCTTTGGTGGCTCTGGAACTCCAATTTTCACCACAGGACTGTGAAGGAAAAGTTCAGATATTCTCAAACATCTGAACTTTTACCTCAAATATTATCTCAAATATTGTACTTCTGTAATCAATCAGCCTCTATTTCACTTTTTTGCTGGGAGAGTGCAATGCTGAGGGAGTGCAGCTCCAAAGGAGCTTTGGTGGCTCTGGAACTCCCATTTTCACCACAGGACAGTGAAGGAAAAGGATGGCAGAAACATCTACAGTGCACCTTCTGTTAAAAACATCCTTTTTTAGCTGTCTTTTTGCTTTGGAAAAAGAAAACATCTCCATGAGCTGAACATGCACCGTCAGCTCGGCTGACACAGAGCCCTGCTGACATATTTTTGTTCCAAAAAACCCCAACTTTGCTTTTAACTAATTTTTAAACGTAAAAGACCAAAAAAAAAGGGAAAAAAGAAAAAAAAATAGCCACCATAGGATGCTGAGGGGAAATGCTGAACACAGTAAACATCTTTCATGACAAAGAACACAAATACCCTGCAGATCTGCTGTCAACAGCAAGTGCTGGGCCCCCCTGCTTTCAATAGTTAACAGAGGCCCCTCTCTCCCCAAGCAACAATCACGGTGTTAAAATGTTGACATGCTAAGCACATTTGGAAAAACCCATGTCTGCATTCCCCATGGATGGGGCAGCATCGCTGTCTGCCACCTACAGAGCAGCACTTCAGGCCCAAGCGACCTCCTCACCTCGTGCCTTCTCTCCTGATATTCACTTTCAGATGGAGCTGAGCCACATCTGGGTTCCTTCTGCACTGGGAAAGGTTTAGGAAATCTCTATCAGGGGAGAAAAAGGTGTTGGGAATAAAAAAAGAAGTGTTTGTGTTGTGGTACTTCATCCCCAGCTGAGTCTTTGTGGTGCGTTGAAAGATGTCGGGAAGGTGGAATTTTGAGGAGAAGGTGGGAAATAGCTTGTCAGGAAAGGGAAATTTTAGGAGAAGGATGGGAAAATGTGTTAGGAAAGTGAAATTTTGGGGAAAGTGTGGAAAAAATGTGCCAGGGAATTGAAATTTTGGGGAAAGAGTGGAAAAAATGTGTCAGGAAAGTGAAATTTTGGGGAAAGGGTGGAAAAATGTGTCAGGAAGTTGTAATTTTGAGAAAAAGGTGGAAAGTACATGTCAGGAAAGGGAAATTTTAGGAGAAGGATGGGAAAACGTGTCAGGAAAGTGAAATTTTGGGGAAAGAGTGGAAAAAATGTGCCAGGAAAGTGAAATTTTAGGAGAAGGATGGAAAAATGTGTCAGGAAAGTAAAATTTTGGGGAAAGAGTGGAAAAAATGTGTCAGGAAAGTGAAATTTTAGGAGAAGGATGGGAAAACGTGTCAGGAAAGTGAAATTTTGGGGAAAGAGTGGAAAAAATGTGTCAGGAAAGTGAAATTTTAGGAGAAGGATGGGAAAACGTGTCAGGAAAGTGAAGTTTTGGGGAAGAGGTGGAAAAAAATGCGCCAGGGAATTGAAATTTTGGGGAAAGGGTGGAAAAATGTGCCAGGAAAGTGAAATTTTAGGAGAAGGATGGAAAAATGTGTCAGGAAAGTGAAATTTTGGGGAAAGAGTGGAAAAAATGTGTCAGGGAATTGAAATTTTTGGGAAGGGGTGGAAAGTACATGTCAGGAAAGTGAAATTTTGGGGAAAGGATAGAAGAAATGTGTCAGGGGAGGGAAATTTGGGGGAAATGGTGGAAAAAACGCGTCAGGAAAGTGAAATTTTGGGGAAAGAGTGGAAAAAAATGTGTCAGGAAAGTGAAATTTTTCACAAAGGATAGATAATATGTGTCAGGAAGGTAAAATTTTGCAGAGAGGGTGGAAAAACATGTCAGGAAAGTGAAATTTTTGGGAAAGGATAGAAAAAATGTGTTGGGAAGGCAAAGTTTTGGGGAAGGGGTGGGAAAAACGTGTCAGGAAAGTGAAATTTTGGGGAAAGAGTGGAAAAAACGCATCAGGAAAGTGAAATTTTGGGGAAGGGATGGGAAAAACATGTCAGAAAAGTGAAATTTTGGGGAAAGGGTGGAAATAAATGTAATAATTGAACTTTTGGCCAATTGACAAGGCCAGTTAATCCTGCCATGAAAAAGGGGCAGCATCCATCACATCCTGTGCTCTTGAGTCACACCCGCAGCTCGCAGAGCTCTCTCCTGCCTCATTTTATTCCACAATAAATTATTCTGATGTATAAATAAAATTCTGTCTGTGTGTGATGGGTGCACATGCCCCACCAAAAAAATTTTTAGGAGTTTTCAAATTAAAAGGGCTGAAAAGCCTTTGCAGTTGGCTTTTCAATTTTGCCTGGTACTTCTATGTCTGGTGATGGAAGTTTCTGGAAAACTGGGAGATGTTCCTTGCCCACTGTCCTGGCACTGGAGACTGTTCCTAAAGCAGTTTGCTCTGAATTTGTTTAGGATTTGCAACACCCCAAGGAGAAGAAAAGGTTTAATTTTGTCTGGTTTGGTCAGGGAGAAAACAGTGGCTGGTGGGTTTTGTGCTGGAATTGAAAGGCAAAGATTGTGGGCACAAAGATTGTGGGACCCATTCAGTTCCCCAAATCCCTAAAAGGATCTTAAATCCCAGCTGCAAGCAAGCAAATCCATCTGTGTGACACTCCTTAGGGAGTTAGAGTTGCTGTGTCTGCAAATGAAATTTCCCCTGAGAGATAACATCAAAATGAAGGAATTAATATTTCCCTGGCCAGGTAATTTTCCTTGCTGTTACCATTAGGATTTTTAGCTGTTTGCACCCATTGAAGTTTCACTGGTTTTACTAAGGGTGAAAAGAGCAGTTGGAAAATTTGATAGCACATGGTTTAGATGGGAAGGAATCACGGTGACAGCTGGGGGAGACCCGGTGAGGATGAATTTGATGTATGTGTGCTTTAAAAGACAACAGGAGTATTACACAACTACCTCAGCCCTGCAGCACTCCGTACGTGGTTAAAGATTTGATTTGAAAGTACTTTCGCGATGCTGTTTTGCCTTTGTCACAGTTAACAGCGGCTAATTGCCGATCTGGGTGATTTCAGAGAAAAATTAAACCATTTTCTGTCTGATATACGGGCAAAACGCGCGGCGAGAGCACCTTCTCCATCACTGGCATTGGTGGTTCAGTGGTAGAATTCTCGCCTGCCACGCGGGAGGCCCGGGTTCGATTCCCGGCCAATGCAGATGATATTTTTCCGCCTTACTCTTTTTTTTTTTTTTTCAAGTTCCTTCTTTCTCCTTCCTTTTCCGCTTCCGTCGCGGCCGCCAAATCCTCCTTCAGCTCCACCGGGTCTCGGCCCGCTGCTCCCCCGCCGTGCCCCGCCGGGCCGCGGCTGCCCGGAGATAGCGGGAGGATCCTCGGGGAGGCCGCGCCGGGGAGGACAAGATGGAGGTGTAAGGAAGGGCCTGAGGGGGGAGCACAGGGCATGGCCGGGCCTCGGAGCCGCCCTGCCGTCACCACAAGCGGGGCTGCGGGGCATCTCAGCGGGGTTTGTGTGGGGAAAATCTCCATGGGGTGTGTGGGTGTTTCTCTGTGGCCGTGGGGTGTGTGTGGGCACATCTGAATGTGGTGGTGTGGGGCGGGGGGGTACGTCCGCGTCGGTCTGTGCGTGAGGGGTGTGACAGTGCAATGAATCCGTGAGGTTACAATAAATCCGTGAGGGTACAATAAATCCGTGAGGGGTTTATTGCACCCAGCAGTGAGTTCTGCTCAATGTCAGAAGGGTTTATTTTATGAAAATTCCTGTCAGATAGGGTGTTGGGGTGAAAGGCAGCGTGGCTTGGCCTTAATCTCACTCTTGTCCCCTCCTGTCCCCTCTGCCCTGTGAGAGGCAAAATGGAAATTTTTCATTATTCCTGTGAGCTTTGTGTAGGAGCTGGAAATGCTGGGGAAGGAAAAAACCTGAGGAGTTTGTGCCAGCATTGCAAACACAATAAGAGAGGCAGAATTTTGGCTGGTGGCTCTTTCAGGCCTTCTTACCGTGTGTTTTGGGCACAAAACAATAAGATTTGACCTGTTTTGAAGCTTCAAATCTCACGAGTTCTGTGGAGCTGGTTAAATTTCTAGTTTTCATTTAATTTTAATTTCTCTAATGGGTGAGGGCACTCCTGGGATGTATCCCTCAAAGTCACTGAGCTCCTGCAGCCCTGTAATCCAGGGATGCTTCGTTATCATTAAATCTTCTCTACTATGAGCATGAAAATCAGAAGTTGATAAAAAATATTAAACATTTGCTGAAGTACAGGTTTGTATGACAGTCTTAATATGAATAGCAGCCTGCAGAGAAATGAGCTGTTCTGGCTGCTGTACACTGAGAAAAATGCTTTTGATAGCATTAATACAAAAATCTGTGATGCTTCTTACACATCCACTGAGTTTTTATTAATCTTCTTTTGCCTCCTGCCTGATTTGGAAGGGAAACTTTGCAACTCAACTCTCCAAGTTCTTACTGTGAATTTTTCTTATCAGAATTATTCTGTATTTCTTACCAAAATTATCTGTTATTAGAGAAAAGATCTCTCAGAAAACTGTGAGGTTTAAATATATAACAAATGTGAAGCAGCAGACTTAAAAATATGAAGTGTCAGTGATATTTGTAAATGTGCGATGCCCTGTACTGAGATATTTTTGATATATGCAGCCCTACTCAAGAGTGTTTTGGTTTAGACTAAAATTTGGGCAAATATGAGCTATTTAAAGACTCTACAAAGTGTTTCTATTTTTGGTGTTACCATGAAAATTTTTACCTTTCTGCTTAAGTCTTAATCACATAAAAATAAATGAAGTGTTGAGCTGACTGCTTAAAAATACACATTAGAATCCATTATTGAGAATTCTTTGTTTCCTGACTGTAAAATTGGTAGCTGAGTCAGGACTGAAGGAAATTTTATTTCTATTGTGAAAGTTGATCAATTTATAATTCTGATATTTCAGAGCTGTTGAAGATTTGAGACTGCCTCGTTGGCAGGAGTGCAAAACAAAGTTTTTTTTACTGAATGGCAAAGCGGATTGGAATGAAAAAGGAAAGAAGGAAAGGAATTATCTTAAATAATTTCATTCTGAACCGCAGCACGGCCGAGTGTTGGTTTCACCCCCTTTCAGCCGAGGAATTCCACCCGTAATTGTCCCTATAGAATGTCTTTGATCCGCGGGGATTTCTGTAGGGCCCCGCTGAATGCAAACATTCTGAAGACTCGCATTTCCCTCCCAACAAAAGCTACATATGGTTTGGGAAACATGAATGAAAAACTAATGCGTGCCTGAGCTCACTTGCTGAAGTTTCACTCGGGTCAGCGAAATGGAAGTTGAAGTTCATCTCAGCGTATTTTAGAAGGTCCTTTTCATTTAAAAACAATGCTAGAACCTGTGGAAGTTTGTGGATGCATTTACCATGTGAAAGTGATGAACGTGACAGTTCTATTCAGGCCGTTCTCGGTGCTTAACATCACATTGTACCTTTTTTGTTGGTTTTTTTTATTTGCTTTTTCCTAAGCTGCTGCACAGACCTGAGAAAAGCTTTTTTTTCTCCTTTTGTATGGAAACTTTCTGTTGTTGTGGCTGCTGACTGCTCAGCAGAATGTGTTGTTCAGGGAATAGAGGATGTTCTGGGGCGGGTTTTCTCCCTTTTTATACTTTAAATGTATTAATTTACAATATCCAGGAGGAATTAAAGGCATGCTCTGCAGTCGCCCTGCCAGCCTTGGATAAGGATTCTTAATGGGGACTGAGGAAATGGAAAATGGGAAACTTAATATAGGAACAGGCACATAAAGATGGGGAGAATAAATAAAGAGGAAATGCAATAAATTGGTTTTTTTTCATTCAGTACAACACATAAAAATTAAACCCTGTTTATGTCTATACACACACAGGTGTCCGTGGTGCTAAAATACTCAGGGTGCTCCTGACTGATAAAGACAAGAGTGCTTGTAATCTGAATTCTTTTTCCCATCAGTGTTTATTTAAATAAAATCTGAGGTGGTTTTTTCCTAAGAAGCAAAGCAATTTGGTTTGAGTGAGCAAAATAGGGTGACTGAGTGAAAGGAGTGTGTTGTACAAGTGTGTTATGATTTATGGGGCAAACTGTGCAAAATATCCTCAATATTTATTCACCATTTTACTGACAGCATGGAAAATATTTCCCAGAGATGGCAACTGTAGAATCACCAAAATAAGATGTCTTGGGGTTCTTTTTAAAGTTCTTTCAGTGCCTGTGAGTGTGCAAAGAAAAGCTTCAAACAGTTCCATTTGGATAATAATGAACTGTTTTCATTTTTCCCTTTAGAAAAGATGCAAATGCTGCATTGCTGAGTAACTTTGAGGTGAGTTTGTCTTCATTCTGCTTTTAAAGCAGCAATTCCAGGCTGTCATCAGTGCCTTGTGTAATCTTTGGAAGCTGAAACCTGGCAGTGGCAACCAGGAAAACCTGCAGGGGATTTCCTCTTCCTTGCATTTGGTTTGGTTTAAAAAAAAAAACAAAACAAGAAAAAAAATCTTCTTTTTAAAGAAGATTGGGAAATGGTTTTGCTAGTAATGGGTGCTCTAGTATTGTTTGTTTGGTCCTGAGATTATTCTGAAAAATATAATGAGAGAGTATTTTCCTCTCTCATTTTAAGGGGAGTAGAAAGAAATGTTTCATTTACCTGGTTTAATTTAAGCCAGGTAATGGAAATATTTTGGTTTGCTGATTAATTTAATTTTTGGAGCAGTTTTAATAACTGTGTTACTGTATTGCTGAAGCTGCTTTTTATTGCAGCTGTTCCATTCTGTTCTGGAATGGATCTGGAGGTGTTTCATGCTGCAAACAGCAGAGCAGCTCTGGTGGGTGGTGTTGAGGCATCTGGGCAGAACTCTGCTGAATTTCCTCTGAGAAACAGAGGAGACCCTGTCACCCAGCTGGTGTTCAATGTCTGGCTGTTAAAATCATGTCCAAAAAAATAACAAATATGATTTTTAAAAGGATTGATTCCCTCCAGCTGCTGATCCCTTTCCATTTGCTCCTCTCCCCAGTGGCTCTTGCACTGCAGAGCCAACACTGTGTAAATCCAGGGCTGTTTCACACACCAGGTTCCACCCTGTGCATCCCTGGGAGCTTCTTGGCCTTTGGTGCTCCCAGAGCTCCCAGCCTGGGTTTGATTTCAGCACTGCCAGGTTCCTTTTCCTGTAGCTGATTGTGTTCATGTTTCTCCCTGTCTGGGAATGTTTGGTGTCTTATTTCTCTGGAATGGTCAGTTTGGAATTCTCCAGGCTGGATCTTGAGTGAAGCCAGCTAA